ATTGGAGCAGTAATGATAAAGATCATACTGCAGGAAGTACAAGATACCAGATGATTATTGTATTCTCTCGAGTTGTGGAAATGCTGCAAAATGGTGCAGGGAATGGTGTTGTGTGAGGCCAGTGAGATCCTGCACTACCCAGCAGACACTGAGTACGAGTGTTGGCCACTCTGGTCCTTTTCTACTTCTTTTCTGCATGGTTTTGGGTTAGTGGGCTGTCACTGGCCTTGTAACCAGATTAAACTGCTGCAGAGCTCAATGTCTATTGTCAAGTGTTTTATGAGCACTTACAATGTAATTAATGCCTTTTATACAAAATGGGATTATTTCATCATTTTCCCTAATACAGAAAAAGAATGTTAAGGACATTATGCTTTGATTATCTTTACATGTTTGCTGTTTAAGGACGGCAGAAAATCTGAAATAACGTCAAAATATTTAATAAATGCACAAATAGGGATGTTAAAAATACGGGAGTTTACTGCTAATGTGCATGAATGGTGGTCTCTAAATTCCATGTTGCTGAGTTGTTGTAGTCCTTGCTGCTGTTCAGGCAATGGGCAGCCTGTAAGCGTGATTATTGTGCAGGATGATTACAAATATTAATAACGTGTAATATTCTTAAGAATACTAAGAAAAATACATCATATAGGATATTATTGTGGGAGTATCTCTGTGGATAATTTATTGGCTGGATTCTGGGACTAGACATTCTTGTGCCCCCCTGTGGAATTCTAGTTATAAGCTTGTAGCAACTCACAGGCTTAAAAAAAGTGTTGTTGACTTGAATTCACAGGCACTGTTTTGTGAGTGTTGAGATTATAATATTTTATAAACTTTTCAGAGATCAGAATTGTTGAAGGCAATGCTGTGTTCATTATTAACTGGAGGTTCAGTATTTGCATGTATTTCAGACTGCATGGGTCTTGTGCTCAACTTTTATTTATATTTGTTGTGCTTTGTTGGTGTGTACTTTCTGTGGTGAATTTTCTTCTTTAGTCTCTTTCAACTGCTGATTCTCTGTAGCAGTGGAGCAGAGATTTGGGATTGGAAGCTGAAAACAGAGAACTAGTTTCATTCAGAAGAAAAAACTCATTCCAAGTAAATGGACCCATAAGTCATGTTTAGGTTGATTTTAGAGATGTAACTGATAGAGAGGTTTTGTTGGTTCTTCTGTGAAAGGGAATTTCCCCACTGATACAGCCTGAATTGAAGGAATGGCAAGAGTGAAGTGTTGTGATATGATTTGAGGGATTATAATCTCAGGAGAAGAGGAGACTCTTCTGCTGAGGCTTTCTCTGGTTGCCACCAGGGCACTTGGAATTTGGGCCACAGGCAGTTTTCTGTGAAGTGACTTGTTCACAGAGAACTTTTTGTTTTGCTGGGGAAATTGCTGCCTGGACAGAGAGAAAGGAGAAATAGTGAGCACCTCCAAAGTGAGCAGGTCTGTCTCAGGCAAAACCCCCTGTGCATTGTTAAAGGCAGCATTTGTTGTGTTTTGAGCCATCTCCAGTGTTACATATGGAAAAGCCCAGGTGATTTTTATGGGCTTGGATAAGTTGCTGCTCTGGTGAATGCTGCAGTGAGGGGGGAAGCAGATCTTATGATTTCTCTGAAGTGCAATGGGACTTGTGTTCTCTGACTAAAAATCTGGTGTGGGGATTGGAAGGAGCAGCTTCATAGTTGTGGTGACATGTATCCTGTCATGGCTGTCAGTGAAAGTCAGATAAATGGGGGCCACCTGAATCACTGGAATTTAATAATTGTATGACTCACCATGTGGCCCTGAAAAAGCTGCTTTGAAGGGTTACAGCATCATATTGGGCTGAGTGTAATATATTTGTACTCCTTGCAAAATCCTTTGTGACTGGAGGGAGTAACTTTTTGATGAGTAAATAAAATACTGTCCCAGATTATACATTTTCCATGTTTCCTCACCCAGGTACCTATGTCATTATTAAAAGGAAGGTGAGGATATACAGGTAAATATTTGTCACTGTTGTGAAGGATTGTTTTGGTGACAGCAAATTCTGGGAACTTACTGTCTGGAGTAACTTCTCTATGACAGCAGCTCTTATTATTAACAGCTTGAGTAACTCTCATATCCAGTCATATTTTTAAGGGATATTTGTGTACTGTGGCTTGCTATGATTTGGTCAGCTACTAAATGTGCTTTTATTTCCTGACTTCCAAAATCTGTCTCTCAACGCTAATATTCTTAGTGTTACTTGGTGTAAATCAGCTGGTCCCAGTGCATCTGCATGAATTTATATGAGGTGATGATGTGGCCCAGTAAAAGAATGGAATCGGGCAGCATTGAACTTGTTCAAATCTAAATTTCATCTAAATTAATCTAGCTTCACCCTCACAGAAGGAGATAATGCTTGAATCCTGTGCTAGGATTTGGTTTATTTCTGCTTTTTGCAGAAATGTTCCCTCAAGGGTGAGTGCCTCAGAGTGTGCACATATCAGTGTCTTGTTCTCCAGTTTACTGATTTAACAGCTCATGAATCAGACTGTGCTGCTCAGTACTCCATTCTGCTGCTGATAATTAATCAGATATGGCTCTAATTACTGACTTTCAGCAGAAATTAACTGTGGTCATCTGTAGCATCATCTGTTATTGGCATATTGTAGGAATATAGGCACCAGAAAAAGAACTTGCAGGAATTATCTAATTAAAATCATAACGCTTTACCCATCATTAAACCTTTCTTATATAGCTTGAGTGTGGCCTCCCCATCTGAAGGTGACTGCCCTTTTCTGCATTGCCACACGATGTCCCTGTTGTTGGAAGCTTCCCAAAATGCAGAATGGCATTTCTGGGAATGCACTGCTTGGCCAGGGCTGCTGGACAGAGGCGCAGAGCAGGGCACACACGCTCTGTGTTTAAACTTTCCCCAGTGTTTGATTTCTCAAGCGAGCTTAGCTGAAAAATCAGTTAACTATCTTATTGTCTGTTACTTTGACTGGTGTTCTAATGATTTAAAACCTGTCAGGTAATTAATACCAGCTGAGACAGCAACTGAATCCGAAAGTTTTATTTCAAATACTAAAAGTTGTCCTAGACCGGTTGAAGAGGTGTCGGGTGTACTATATTTGGGGATAGTAAAAATAAAGACATAGATTAAAAAAAATATACATATATGGGGTATTTGTGAGTTTAGAGATGTATAATACCTTGTGAGATGGTGAGATGGTTTTTCATTAGGTGTTTATTTACTATTAGTACAGTCTTGGTTTGTTGTGGGTTTTTTTCTGTTTTTTTTTGTTTGTTTGTTTGTTTTGTTTTTGTTTGTTTGTTTGGTGGCGGTGGTTTGATTTTTGAGTTTCCATTATCAGTACCATCAAGCTATCACTAAAAATCACAGCTTGAAGTCTTTCCCTGGAGTTTCTAGGGTATAAATGAGTAAGAGCTGTGATGAAACTGTCCAACACCTTTGTTTCAGGTGAGAAATAGAGTAGTCTGTACAATTAAAAGCAAAGCAAAAGAAACCATCCAGCTGGGATGGCAAATAAAGGAACAGCTATGGAAAGGAGGTGTGAGAAATTAGGAAAGTAAAATAAAAACATTATAAAACAATCATTGTATTCAGTACTCAGTGCTGGAGCTACAGATAGGACTTAATGCTTCAAAGGATTTTCTCAGTGAAAAGGTTAAATGTCAAAGGTTCAAAAAGTCATAAATGACAATATTAACACTTGTCGCTGGGTGCACTGAGTGCTGTTCCATGGTATGATCCCAGTCTTCAGGTTGTAAATCCTCCATAAATGAACTGACCATGTTGGCAGCTATAGAACATTGACTTGATATCGATTGAACCATTATTATTAACTTTTTCTAACTCAGAGAAGGGGGGAAGGGACTGTAAGAACTCGGGACAGTAAGAGGTGGGCTCTGAGCTGCAGGTACAGTGCAGATAGAGAATGGGATTTGGCTGATCAGAACACACAGTCTGTGCTGGGTTTGCTCTGTTATCCCAAGGCTGAGTTCTGAAGTTTGGGATGTGGGTGTCTCCTGCAGGAAACAGGAGTTCAATTTGATGGGGAGGGCTGGAGGCCAGGCAAGGGAGGAGAGTGCTGTGTGTATGATACACCATGAGCAATGCAGAGATTTCAAATTCTAGGAGAAGACTTTGGATTTGCAGCCAGGGATGTGGGATACAATTATTTTTATCAAGCCAGTTGTATTCTGGATTAGTTTTAAAAAGAGTTCTACAAGTAAATGGCTCCAAGCACAGTGGATTTAAACTGATTTTTGCCACATTTTTAGTAGATGACCAGCAGTTTAAATTATATCAGGGTTGTTTGTAAACACCCCTGCAAGGCTCCTCACAGCATTGCTCCCTACCCATTTCCCCTGTTCACAGCTCTGTAGTGCCCTGGGGATTTCCTGGCACAGCTGTGCTTTCTCTTTCCTGCTGCTCCCTGTTGTTGGTGCACTGTCCATTGCTCTGCAGTCCAGCAGAGGAACCACACAGGCCAATGCTGATAATCTTCCTGGAAGTGTTTGCCAGCTGGCTGACCCCCAGTGTTGCCTGCCCAGCTCCAACCTTAGGATTTGGTGTTGCACGTGAGGTTTTGTAAGGTGTTGCAAAGGTTCATTGTAAGAAGTTACTAAAAAAAAAATCTGATTTTGTAGCAGGCCTTGCAGGTTCCAGGGTTATCTATGGCCAGGAAGACAGAACAAAACCTTTCTCTGTAATAAAAGCAGATTAAAAATTAAAAATAAGTTAAAAATTTGTCAGGTTTTAATAATAAGAATGTGAATTTCTAGGAGTATGTTGTAGCCATGTCTGTGTGTGGGGAAGCAGAATGTGTTGGTGTTCTCCTAATGAACATCCAGGACCAGCTGGATGCTGGGACAGGACTGATCTCTGGGCACTGCACTGGTGCTCCAGCAACACCCAGTTCTGGAAACAGCTCCTTTTAGTTCAGGAACCAAGGGCAGACTCCTCTTTCTCAAGTTTGTCTTTTGTTTTAATTTTTTTCTTCAGGGAGGAGGTGTGATGTTTTGCTGTCAGGATGAGGAGCAGGATCCCTGTCATCCTCCTGGCCTGTGGCTCCTTTAACCCCACCACCCACATGCACATGCGTTTGTTTGAGCTGGCCAGAGACCACCTGCACCAGACAGGTCAGTGGGGGCTGGGAAAAGCCAGAAAGTTTCAATACTCGCTTAAATCAGCTCTTACTTTACAGCTGGGTTCATTTTAATATTCTTTACTGATATTAATGTAAAACTTTCATGGGATATTCAATATATAGAGTCTGGTATTACCTCAGTGTAAAGGCAAATATAATGAGTGTTCGTGCAAAGAGAGTAAAAGTTTTATCCGGAGTTTCAGGATCCTGTTGATGGCACTGGCTGAATCTTGTGAACTAATATGGTTAATAATTTTGAAACTTGGGAAAATCATTTCTGTTCCAATCCCATGCTTTTATGATACAATGTGCTTTAATATGAAGTGTTGACAGCTGGGGGAAGCTGGAGAAAAGATGAAATGTTAATTATTCTTTATCTGTCTTCACTAAGAGGCATTTTATCTATCCTAGAAAAAGATCAGAAAAGCGAGATTCCACCAGGCTAGAATGTTTTGGCAACAAAAGAGCAAGGTGGTAACATCAGGAATTTAAAAAAGAATCAGAAATGCTACTGGGAAGCCTTGAACTCTTAAGCTTGAGCAGCTCCTTAGTTGCTCAGGGATTTAATTTTTTTTTCCGTCTGGCAGCTAAAATATATAAATAAAATAATAGGTTTCTGGAAGTCATTGGGAGGGAATCATTATTTGTTGGAATCTGACAGAGAAATCCCTAGAGAGGTGGTTCAGTAGGAACCTGAACAGCAAATAATAGTAAAAGGAGTTTGGCTGTCAAATTGAGCAGGGGGAGAGAGCCAGGGACCCCACTGATGGCCCTGTGCAGTAAAAGCAGCAGCTGCATACTCTGAATATCCTGTGAGGATACTTTGACTGTCATGAGGTAGAACTACAGAGCTGGCTCTGAGGGCAGCCTCTGCAAGTCTCTGTTTTCCTAGAACTAAAATTATTTTGTTGCTCCTGCAGGACAGGAAATACAGGGTTAAAAAGAGTTTTTAATTTAATCTTTTCACCGTAGTTTTATAACTTATTCTGCTGCCCAGATATGCAAAGAATAGAAAGGTAATATGAGACCAATTGGTAATTCTGTTTAAGTCATAAATTACAATCCAGTAACATTTCTTTGCCCTAAAAGAAGGACTGAACTGGGAAATGAATTATTATTCTGTCTGAATCAATTTGATGTCTGGTCTGCTCCAGGGTCAGTTTAGAAAGACTCCACCCCTTACTCAGGGCAGTTTGCTTAAAATATAGTAAAAGTCATATTAAAAATGAAATTTTGAAAGGTTGAAATGGAAATTGTGCATTATATTACACCTACTGTCAATGCCTAGTTCTGGGTAGGGTGTGACTTGCCTTTTGGCTTCTTATTTCAATTTGTGACACCTTACAAGTAGAAGGGCTTTCTACATTAAAGAGTCCTTCTTTCGTGTCCGAGTTGCCTCCAGCATGGTCTGAAAGCTGAGCCCAGCGTGGCAGCAAGGGTTCAGCAGAGCCCTCAGTTTGCCTGCAGGAGCTTTAGCCATGCTGAGCAGAGGAGGCTGGATGTGCAGCAGCTCCAGGAGCACATGGATGTGTTGGTATGTGTGGATACACACATCCCATCTATGGCCCCTCCTCAACAGGGAGTGGAGTTTCTCAAGCAGAAGGGGTTGGTAGCGTGCTATAGAAGTGACTGATTCTGGATGCCTGTTTTATGGCAGAACCATTCCTACCCAGGAAATTTATTGGTCATTCTCTCGTGGTTTTAGCCCTGTTTCCACTTCTGGGTTACACAGGGAAGGAGAGGAGAAATTGGAGCTTCTCTGCTGAGAAGCAGCAGCAGCTGCAGCCTGGGAGCTGATGGAGGGGCTGGAGAACAGGGGTTGTCTGACTTGAGGCAGCAGTGATTCCCTTCTCCAAGGGAACAGTGAACCTTGGAGCTGACATCCACACTGGATGCCTGAAATGAAAGAGGAATTAATTAATTAATTGGTGTGAGCGACATGTTTCCTAGGCTTGGGAATGGCTTCACCCTCCTGCTGCCTCAGTGGTGCTGCTCTGTCACAAATCAGGCTGAAATGATGAGCTGGGCCATAGCTTGGCTGGAGTTCAGTCACCAGCCCTGTGTGTGCTGTGGCACTTGGGGGCGTGTTCTAGTGCTGGGTCTGTGGTTGGACTCAGTGATCTTAGAGGGCTTTTCCAGCCTTAACAATGGCAGGATTCTGTGACTTCAGAGGCAGGTTTCACTGCCATGAGTGATGTGACTATCCCTGATGTGCATCCTGACTGACATCTCCAGTAATTCTGTCTGCCAGCTTTTTGTGCATCATGTCGGTTTCTAATGCTGCTTAATCTTATTTTCCATACATCCCTATTTTAAGTAAGATATTTTATTTGGTTTCTGATACTTTGTGCAGTTTCATTGCCACATATCAAGCAATTAATCATTTTTCTGTTAATATCAGCCAATAAATCTTATCATGCTGCCTTTTAAATACAACACATATAGCTGTGTGTGGCCTGAATGACTCAAATCGTTCTCTTTATCTGGATTTTCTGTCTACTCATTTGAATTTGCCACTTCACACATCCTCAGACACAGCTAAAATTTTCCAAGATTCAGTCCCTTGTTTTAAAATTGTTTTTTGAAACTTGCAGTGACTGTGGCAGATGCCTTTAGAGTCTATTAATACCTAATGTCTGGCACTTCTGCTTCTCTGTGACTGAATTCCTCATTTGACCATAAAGACAAAAGAAATAGTACTAGAATCAATCTGAGATATTTTTTCATCTTGTTTCCCAAGTGTTGCCAGTGGAGGGTACTTATATCCCCAGGTTCCCAGGTGAGACCAAAGGAGGAGGGTATGAAAGATAAGGTGTTTTATCTGTGGCAAGACAAATGTGAGGGGAAGGTAAAGGATAATGAATTATTATCTTACAAAAACTGGGGGAAATGTGACACCATTGATGAGTTCTGTCAAATGCATTCCTGTTCACTGGGTAGGGTAACACCAAGAAGCTGCAGAGCTTCTCTTGGGGGATTTTCCTTTGACACTGAGAGGAAAATGAGTAGTGAGCAAGAGTTAAATGTATGGAAGTGTTCCATTTATTTGCTTTTCAGTAGTGGTTATTTACTTTTATTATTTACTTCTGGCATAATTTCTCTCAGTGAATTCCAGACTTACTACCAGAAGAAATGAGTCTTTAGAAGCCCCACCAAAATACACAAACAATTTTGTATGAAATGGCATTTGATAAATTTGCTTTAGTATGAATAAGCTAATTAAGCATTACAATTTGTGTAAGTGTTTGTGGCAATTTACATGACACCTTGATAACAGAAAACTAAATACCTCTTTAGTTTTCCTTAATTTATCTTAATAATCTGCTTTAACATGTTTGAGGGACAGTCTTTGTTTCATTACTTTACTTATATTTAGTTTTCTGAGCACTAGCCAGTTCTCCCAAACAGTTCTTAGAGAATGTAAGTTCATAACAAGAGGAACTTTTTTGCTGCTTTTGGTAGGTATATTTTGGAAAACAAAGCCACTTAAGGGCCTGGAGGATTTTTACACATATTTGGGACAAGCAATAATAGCATACTTCATGATGAAAAGAAATAGAATTCTAGAGAAATAACATTTGAAGATAATTCTGGACCAAGGAAGGTTTGAAGCAACCTGTAATAATTTATAGCGAGAGAAGAGAATTGCAGTGGACATTAGGAAAAGCCCAAGGTGACAGAATTTAATGATTTCCTCTTCACACGCCTGCCAAAACTGAGGGGCATATTTGAACAGGTGAACTTTCAAATTACTCAATAGGAAACAAGTTATTTAGAGCCAGTAATAGAATTATTTCCTATATTTTGGCAGCTAAAGCTGTATTTCTACGTGGAAGGCTCTCATGCATCCTGTCTGTGTAGTGCTGGGTAACTCCACTGTGAATCTTGTCAAGCCATTCCTGTGTTTGACTCTCTGAAGTGTTATCAGCCTTGGCTTTTCCAGTTGGTTTCACTTCTGCTTTGGAACAAGCTGATATGGCACCAGGAGCTCTTATCCCATTTATGCAGCTCTGGGGCAGACTAGAGAGTGAAGTCTTTCCATCTCACAAGGATGTGGCAGACCCATATCATTCTTGGTTAGCATGAGCTCACAGTAATATGATTTTTTCATTTAATATATTCGTTTAAGGTATAAGGGAACAACCTATATCCGTAGAAACTTAAAGAAAGTGAAACATGCAAAATAAAATCATCGTGTAGGAAAAACCTTTTAATAAGGTTAATGTAGTAGTGAATTCAAACTGCAGTTTCCTTCCCTTTAAACTAGAAATGAATTTAAACTATAATTTCTTTCCCTTTAAATGACAACTTGTTATAGCACTGTATAATACCAGAGTACGAGAGAATAATTGTTTTTCATAAATCAAGTGGAATTATTTCCAATTTCAAATAAAGAGGTGGAATTAATTATATACACATCTTTGTATGGTTCTGGAAAATTCTATCTTGTTCATTTTGCCTGCAATGAGAATATTTTAAAACAGAGGATGGTTTGAACTGACATCTTAAAGAGGATGTAAATCTTGTTGAATCTTAATGCTGTTTTTTTAAGTTGAATTTGATGAAATTCTTTTGAAAATTTTATTACATCAAAGTAAGTGTGACATTGCTAGAGTGACATTGTTGTGTTAGTATATTAAATTGTCATGTGCCAGTATCAGAAATGTCAGGAGTATTGTTTTCCTTACAAAGCAATAAAGATAGCATGCTGCACTGAAGTTTCTTTGTTAAAATAATTGAATTAGGAAAAAATGAAGATTTTTTCCTCTTCACTATCATATTTGTCATAGTTATTTAAAATGCATGTGTTATATTAGAAATAATTCTGTTCATTTATGTTCTGTTGAAACAGTCTTCCTCTCCTCAATTTCTCGAGTCTTGCAGCTTCTGGTGGTGCTTTATTTTTGTTTCCTGGTTTGGGGCCAGAACTGCAAAATCTAACCAGTCTGTTGTGTTAATGATTATGTTGTGTTACAGGGGTAGAAAACCAGGGGCATCTTGTCAGATGTATTTAACATGGTCAGCCAGACAGAAAGGCATTGAGTGGCTGATGTGCACAGTGCTCCAAGTCTCATTTTAGACTCCATTAGCCCCATCTTAGTGCTCGAGTCTTCTGATTTGTCTGAATCACATCAATCAGAGCTGCAGTAATATGCTGTATTTCTTGCTTTAACACAAAGAAAGGCACAATGATTCTTATAAATAACAATGCTCAGATCTTTAAGAACAAAGTAGTGGTCAATTAAGTCATTCTTTTCTCTGGCTATATCAAAGCTGTACTAACTGGACTATGAAACTTAATTCTATCTAACAATTTTGATAGTTTGCAACATCAATTATGACTATGTCCACGTGGTTTAAAATTGTCTGTTTACCCGTCTTTCCTTTTTGGGTCATTTATTAGGATAAACATGATAGTAGTTGTGAGCAGCTCAAAGAGGAACAAAATGTTTGCATTTTAATATTGTAATTGTTGGGAATGGATTAAAAACAAAACCCAAATCAAGTTGTTCATAGCATCTGAAAACTTTGAAGTTAACCACAGAAGTTATCCTTTGAAGAGGTTGGACTAGGTGAGCTCCCAAGACCCTAAATTTTCAAGATTCTGTGAAGAGGACTTAATTTTCTTTTTTTCTTTTTTTTTTTTTCCCACAGGAAGGTATGAGGTGATTGAAGGCATAATGTCTCCTGTCAGTGATAAGTATGGGAAGAAAGGCTTGGTGTCAGCAAGGCACCGGGTGGCCATGGCCAAGCTGGCCCTGGAGACATCAGACTGGATCCGGGTGGATCCCTGGGAGAGCCAGCAGGACACGTGGACAGAGACAGTGAAAGTGCTAAGGTGATTACATGATCTTCTTCCTGTCTTTATGAAATTACTGACTGCCAAAAACCTGCCAGGCTGCCACGTCAATGCACAGGACTTGCTCCTCTAAAACACCCAGGCAAGTCAGGATTCCCCACCAGGAATCTTTCATTTGCTTTCCCCAGACCTGTGCAATGACCACGGTACTGCCCTCGTGTCCTTCAAGTAGTTGGATGCATGTGGAAAGCCTCTGCAAAATGATGGCTGGGTTCTGCAGGAAAAGTTCCTGCCTCTCATGTTACCTTTCTTGGGTGTAAGTCTCTAAGCAGGTAATAGAGAGATTGTGATCAGAAAGTAAGAGAGTTCACAAATGATTCTGTTCTTCAGGAGTATGTCTGTTCCAATTTAGTTATGGTAGCAGTTTTATGCCTCCAGATTTATCTGTTCACATTTCCTTGTAAAGTTTTCTTATTAACTCTAATGGTAAATTAAGCCCAAGCCCATAACTGTGGGTTTTTTTCTTCAAAATCTTGGAGTTTGCTGTGGTTTTGTGCTGGGAGGAGAAATTAAACAAAACTTAATGCAAGGACCTTGAAGCATGTCTTTTCCATATGGTAATAAATGCATATGGGGCAAGGTGTGAAAACACAAACTTCTTGTTCTAACTGCTCTTTGGAAAAGGTGCTAGAGAAGGTAACAGATACCATTAAACTGAAAGCCTTCAGGGAAGTCTACAGCAAATGTGCTGTAAGAGCTATCACTGATTCTTCATTTTTATCCCCATTTTCTAGGTTACTTTCTAAGGAAACACTTTCTAAGGAAACAGGTGTTCAAGGCTCCAAACTGCACCCTCCAACAGCTGCTCTTTTGGCTCTGTGTGAAAACAGTCAAAAGACAGACCTGTTACTTTACAAAAGCATCCATAAGAATTCACTACAAACTTACAAGACAAAGTAGAGCCTTTCAGATCTGCTTTTACTTTTTTCCCTGAGGGAACACAGGCATCCAGTGTCTCCTCTTGCCCCTTTCCTCCAGGCAGCAGAGCCTGGTCAGGGTGGGAGGTTTTCTTTCTCTGCTGAAAACTCTACTGTTCTTCTAATCATAACTGTATGTCCCAGAGGGAGAAGTCACCAAATGCTGTCCTACAGTATTGCCTGGGTACGGGGCTTTTGTCCTAAACTTCAGTTCAGTCAAACCATTTTCCTCCAGAGAAGCAGTCCCAAATCTTACAGATCAGGTGATCCTACTTTGGTCTTGCACAGCTCCAACTGAAGTGAGTACTGCTTGTAAGATTGGGTTTTTAAACTATAAATCCACTTCAGAGTTCTTCAGGATAGGAGTTCCAGGAAGTAAAACCTATACATATAATTTTCTGCTAAGGCAAAGTAGTGTCAGTGTGGTATGAACAGGCAAACTTCCCATCTGCCTAGAATGTGAACCTCTAGTTTTATTAGTAAATCCACAAAACTTTAAAATGGCTTCCTGTTAAGAAGAGAAATGAGCTTAAATCTTGTTTAGTCCATAAATGTTGACATGTATTAATGAGCTGAGCCAGTACCCTAATCCAGTGTTGAACCTTGAATGGGGAAGCAGCATTCTGATGAAATGCAGGTGTTTGTGTTTACACTGTATTTTAAGTGTCACAGATGAAAAAAGAAGCCAAGAAAGAGCTGGCTGTAGCAGATCCTTACTAAATATAAACAGGCAGTGCTTTATTGTAGAGCTATTCTTCACATGCTTTCAAAGTTAATCTGTAGGTTCTTCCCTCCTCAGAAAACCAAGGACTAACTGCTGCCTTCACTAAAAGCTCCCTCAGGTAGAAAACTTCAGTACCAATAGAAAGAGATTTTCCTATTGCAAGGCAGAGGAAATCATTATTACTAAAATGTCTCTTCTTGCCAGTAGTTTGAGTTGTGCACTTAACTGCAGTAGAACATTTTGTCCTGAAACACATGAATTTTGCTACAGTACTTGTTTTAAGGAGTGTGATAAAAATGTCACATTTCATCAAAACCTGGATTTTGCAGAGGATCCCAAGTAGTTTTGACATAAAAGAATTTTAAGCAGCAAAGCTCAAATCTCACTTACAGCAGTGCTATTAAATGAATATGGAAATCTTGGAGACTACCTCAAGGTTTTTCTTAGAGAGGAGGAAGGAACAGAATAGAGCTGTTTTCCACTTAGCTGCTGTTTGTGGGTATGCCTGGACAAGGAAACAGTATTGTCAGTAGGAAAGGACTGCATTCCTTGCTCCTGTGGATTTGATTGGCATGCAGCTATACTACAGAGTAATTAAAAATTGGCAAAGATCTGCATTACCCAACTTCCATTGTGTTTGTGATTTAGCTCTATAGTTACTCAAAGCTTCATACACATTTCAGAAAACGCTTAAGAAGCTGGCAGATGGGTTTGTCATTTTTGCTGTACCTGATGTAGTGCAACCCCACTTGCTCCAACCCTTGAACTGCTGAGCAGATCCAGGGCAGCTCAGATTTTGCAGTGGTTGTAACGTTGGTCCTGCAGGGAGCTCTTTGGCAAGTGTTCTTGTTTTTGAATCCTGGCCCAAGAATGTCAGAGCACAACACACAGTTGGTGTGCTTGGCTGTACGTAGCACCAGCCTGTTTACAGCAAGGCAGGGTTAAAATTAGATGTGTGGGAAGGCACAGACCAAGCTCCTGGCACCCACCCTCTGCTGCCATATGTGCCTCACCTCTTGGCTGTGCAGCTTCTCTGGCCTCTGGCTGAGCATCAGAAATCACTGGAGGCTGCTTTGCAGCCTGCCTGAGTTTGGTTCTTGCCACATTTGCAGCTTATTCCTGTGGCAGAAGTGTTTGCATGATTTGAGGAGTGTACTTTTAAATTACTTGCCTGTGAATTCCTTCCTTACAGCAGACATTCCGAGGGTCAGCTGGGGCTTCGTACACGCACCAGATTCAGGCTGTTCCTTGGAACTCAGAACCTTTGTGTTGCTGCAGTTGGATAAGAGCTGATGGTCACTGGGGCTCTATATGTGCTACACAGAAATTGGACACAGCCTTGATTGTGTGCCTGCTTGTCCTGCCTGACCAGGAGCTTGTATCCTCGAAACAATGTTGGCTTGTGCAAATATGAGCAATGCTTAGACCTGGCTCAGGATGGTGCAAGGCAAGGACTGTTCTAAAAAAGCAAGGCTGTGCTGATTTGGAAGGAAAAGGTCACTGCCATGAGGTAGCAATACCAGTATTGCAGGGGGGCACCAGGGATCAGGAGTGGTGAAAGGATAAAGTAGCAGAAACCTGGAAAAACCTGCAAAGGGATCCTTGCCTGCCCTCCTGGATCTGAACTCAGTAAAATTAGAAGCACAGCAGATGTCAAAAATCTTATGGGAATTTTTAGTTTCTCGGAATTGTGATTCTTTTAATTAAAATGAATGGGAAAATGGCAAGGTAAAAACTCAGGGAACATATTTTTATGGAGAAGAGAAGGGGAGAGAGCAAGAATGTCTCCTCTCCAAAACAGAGCACACATTACAAAAACACTATCATGAGGGGTTGCATTTAGTCAAGAAATTACTGCTAGTGATTGAAGTGAGATTTAGTACTGTTTCAGGCAAAAATTCTCCTCTATGTTTTAAATGTAGTAGCTACCAAAATTGCCATAATGGTAGAATTTCAAAAAGGATTTACAAACTAGGATGCCATTAAAGAGAGCAGTTGTGAGTTCCACAGAATGTAACTACATTATACTAATCTTACAGCAGAATGAGCCAAATTCTTAGCAAATGGTATTCAAATCCAAAGGGCATAAAAGTAGACCCTGTTCTGGAATGGGAAAGTGCCAGGTAATCACTTTGTTGCATCTGAGAGGATTACCTCACACAGAAGCCTTTATTTTAAGTGCAGGCACCATTATAACGAAGCACTCAGGGCGTTCCAGTCCAAGAAGGAGCTCATGAGAAACAGTCATCCCACAGAAAGCTCTGCAGAGGATTCCCTTTCTTGCCAGCAACCAGGTTGGTTCATGACTGTAAACATGATGCTGTGGTTAGCAGTAAGAACTGTACAGCTTTACCAATTAGTGGTGAGAAAACTGAACATAGTAGCTGATGAGTTTTGAGGGTTGGATGGTTGTATGCCAAAACCAAGCCATGCCAAATGCCATAACGTAACTGCTGGGGTAGTTGTTTTATAACAGCTCCCACACAGACAGGAGACCCTGGAGTTGTAGTAATTCTTGGTTTTATAAGCATCTCTTTAGCTCTGTCAGAGATGTACATTGTGGCCCTGCTTGTTTTGCAAAGCACAGAATACATTAATAAAAAATACAAAAAATCTAAGGATTCCGAGAATTCTACCTGTAGTGTTAGGCAATAGACAAAGTGTATGGACAGTGCAGCAGTGATGCTGCCGTGTTGATGTTTGCTGGCCAGAAAAGCTCCTGTTGGCAGTAGAGGCACGGCAGGCTCTGGAAACAATGGCAGTTTCCAGTTTCCTATCTAATCTTCCCTAGCCCTGTGGCTTGCCAGGATGCTGCTGGATTTTTGATACATTGCCTTTTTCCTCTGGTGTTGTAGCATCTCTTGGACATGAATAATACATTTCAGTTGTTCCTGGTTGTTGAGGAGTTGTATCTTTACAGTTGGTGGAGGAAAGAAACTCACAATTTCACACACCATCACTGGAACATTTCATACATTCTGAATCTCTCCTTTAAGGTGTTTGTGCAAGACTTGCAGATGTGCTAACCATCAAATAAGTGTAAAGTTAAGGCAAATCTCCATCCTTCCCCCTTCATTTCACGTGAATACAAGGCTGTGAAACTATCTGGTCAATGTTTGTACAATGCTCATGTGGAATAATGATGAGAGCTGTGGAAGAAGTTTGAGGAAAGAGTTCTGTGCTGGGGCTTAGGCAGGGAACAGAAAATAAGAAACAGAGACAATAATGAACAGCAGGGCAGGATAGTGTGGAGTAGCCAGGTTCAACCAAGTCTAATCTTTGTGCTAAAGTATTTCTCTTTATTTGCTTCTCCCCTTTTTGGATTGCTCGAGTGGAGTAAAAATTCTCCTTTAACTGTGTACAGATAATATTCAATATGCTTTGAGTGATGATGAAGTAAGTGATAAAGTAATTGTGACCAGACACATAAAAACCTAAACTGAATTTTTCTTACAACCTTCTGAAAAAAAGCCTAGAATAAAAGTAAATTATTTTAAAAAATAATAAAGTAACGAGTTAAAACCAGTTTTAAATATAAACTTCCTAGAAGACTGAGAAAGGATAAGACATCTGTTATTTCCTTTTGTCTTTCCAGTTCTACCAGAATTAAAGCTGCTCTGTGGGGCTGATGTTCTACAGACATTTAAGACACCCAATCTCTGGAAGGAGGAAGACATCAAAGAAATAGTGGAAAAGTTTGGTTTGGTCTGCATTAGCCGGGCTGGCTCTGATCCATCCCAGTTAATCCAGGAATCAGACCTTTTATCTACATTTCAGCACAATATTTTTCTAGTGAGAGAGTGGATCCAGAATGAAATCAGCGCGACCCAGATCCGCTGTGCGCTGTGCAGAGGGCTGAGTGTGAAATATCTCCTCGCTGACTCTGTCATTGCCTACATTGCACAGCACGGCCTCTACACAGCAGCGAGGGCCGCCTGCTGCAGCCCCTCAGGCTGCAGAGCACAAATAAACCCCTGAGGGGCTGCTTCCTGTGCCCTGGGACACCCGCAGCTTTGCCTTGTAGATTCTTGAGAATGCTGTTTCTTATTAATCATGAAGGGAAAGCCCAAAATTTCTTGAAATCACGTGGTGTTTTAAATCCATGAATCTGTGTGTGGTAGTGCTCAAGAAAATCGGGATGCTCATCTGTATAGCTTAAAATACACAAAGAACAGCTTCCTTGTGAAAATAAAAAAAAGGGAGATATTCACAATAAATCTTCTTAGTATTTCAATAAGCTCAGTAAGGTAATAAATATGAAAACACAGTACTTTCCTAACTTGTACTTCTGCAATCCTTACTGTTCTAAAGCAGCAAAATACAATGAACCATAACTTGAGAGAGAGAGAGACATGTTTAAATATTGAATATATATTAGTTCTAAACTTTGTCTTCATAAAACTCTGAATAACTTTTGTGATTTTTTGGCAATTTGGTCAAGAGATGGAAATCAATGTTGTTTCCATGCAAGCACTTAAAAATGCACATGCTACTTCTGCCACTTGTAAGGATTCAGGTTCTCAAATTACAGACAGTCCTCATCCCCACATTTAAAGTGGGTGTCTTTTCTTCTCTGGTCCAGAGTCTTCTTAAGAGCAAGCAAAAGCCCCAGAGTAGATAAAATTTCCAGTAGGGGCTTCAGTTGTACCATATGCAAACATCTGCTCAGTACTTGAGCTCTGGTGTCAGCAGGGAGAATCCATGCTCCTCTCTGCTGGTTGCCTGTTATGCTGATTCAGTGTGTCTCATTTCTGACAGGAGTCACTTTCAGAGAATACAGAACTCTATGAAGTGCTCTCTCTGTGTTTCAGAGCTCCTTAACTGAAAGCATTCATGCAGCAGTGATGTAGCATTTATCACTGTACAGAGTAACCACTGCTGCCTAATCCAAGTTTCCACCTAACTGGTCCTTCTGAGACCCCAGCTGGCCAAGCAGCTTCCACTGGTGGTTCCCTAGGATTCAGGAGCTTGTGGAACAAGTTAAAGGAATACCAGGCACAAATGGCTTTGACTGAAAGGGTCTGTATGATTGTTTTCTTGAAAGAAAGCATAAAGTAGCTGAAACCTGTTCAAGAAAGAAGAATTTAGGTCAAAAAACACACAAGGTAAGCACTTTTATAGCTTTGGCTAATATCCTAAACTTAAGCTATTTGAAAGGGGTTTGTTTCTGAGTGGCATGAAGAATGAAGAGTAATATGGCTAAAATGGATTTCCCTTACAAAAGTGATATGAAAGGTGAATATTTCATTCATTTTCAATCAAGTCGTCATGCTGTCATTAGAAATCTCAGAGGTTCAGCCTTGTGGAAGGATTTAAAGGCAGCACTTCAACAATAATCGGATTAGAAGGACTTGCATAGCTCCATGGTCTAAAAAAGAGATAAAAGAAACCAGAGTTCAAACTTGCCACAAAGCAAGGCAGTGAGCTGTGTGGTGCAGAATCAAGCCACGACTCTGAGCCTGTGGTTTTGACAATCACCTGAAGCAGGGATGCCTGCAGATTTCAATGGGTACTGGAAAATGGTCAGCAATGACAATTTTGAGGAGTATCTGAAAGCACTGGGTAAGGTTCCCTTCAAACTTCTTGAATGAATAATCAATAAATGCCACCTGTCTTATTCTTTACATCAATCTCTTTTTTTCTTGTACAGTCATAAGTCTTTTTTGTGACAAGTATTTTTTTTCAGAAATGCACTTTAAGAATTGCCTTAAGCACAATTGTTTTGCCTTAAGCAGCCTCTACTTTTTACCATCTTGAAGCTTACATTAACAGACATTAAACTACATAGCTTGAAGAGGTAAGTGGTGGATTCCAAACATAAAAAAACCTCCTATAATTTGAAAAGCAGTAAAATTTTTATATTTAATAAAGATTCAATGCAGTACTTAATACAATTTTGTGTGTTTGTATTTGATGTTGTGTTAGTATCTCTATAGAAATATTGGAGGCCTTATTAACTGTCAAATACAAATGGTATTTTTTAAAGATTCCACATAATCAGAAAATTGAAACATTAATTACTTAAGTTACAATAATTAGGTTACAGACTTTTTCTGGATAGGAAGGCTGGTTTGAAAGATTTTAGACATCTCTTTATCTTTGTTCATTTAAGTTCTCCCTAGAAGTGACAAGCTTCTTCTTGTGGAAGACTTTTCTGGGTAAAAAAATAACTCTTTTTCTTTTTCAGATGTAAATGTTGCTGTAAGAAAAATAGCAAACTTGCTAAAGCCTGACAAAGAAATCCTTCAGAACGGGGATCATATGATCATTAAAACGCTAAGCACTTTTAGAAACTACATCATGGAATTTGATGTAGGGAAGGAGTTTGAGGAGGATTTATCTGGGGTGGACGATCGCAAGTGCATGGTAAGAAGCAGAACTGTAACAATGGACAAAAAGGATTATTGATAACCTGAGACTTTTCACAGAACACATCTTTTAACCATCCTGGTGGCTATGCCTGAAATCGTTGCTGTACTTCTCAGATTACCACAATGTACCTACAGTTTTGAGCATGCCTTTAGATTAGAGGAATACTAATTTTAATCAGGAGCACAAAGCAGTTTTATCAATCAGTCAGTAATAACCTCAGTGAAGCTGTGTTCAGGACATCTAGGGTCACTTCCAGAGTCTCTTTAATGGGTAAGGTTTTACAGTAGAGAAAATCCCCTGATTGCAAGATCAGGCACTGCTCCTGTGTGAGAATGCCCAAATGCTTAAAGTTTGCTTGGGTGTATTTATTAGAGCACACACTTAATTATCCCACTGGAACAAATCGTACTGAAGTGAATAAGCAATCACTGATAATTTTGTTTTACCATAGCTCTGTTTTATGAGCTCTTTTTGCTTTTTGACTTAGGACTGATAAATATCAATTTACAGAGGAAAAACTTGAGAATAGCTAGTTCTCACCTATTAGTTTGTTAGCACGACACTGGCAATATTCTACAGTGAGGAAGTTGACAAATAAAAGAAAATTATCTCAGGAGGGACTCTAGAGGAGAAATCTCATAAAAGAGAACTAATAGTATGTTTCCATTCTGAGAAAGATAGTGCTATTTAAAACCAATACTTTTCTCTCACACTAAGATTTGCAAATTTGCTTTTGTTCTGATAATGGCAGGAAAGGGAAAACTTGTGAAGACCAGAGAAAAAGAATGGTTGGCTACTGAGTGCCTCAGAAAATCTCTCTGTAGTCCTTGTAACAGAGGGTACAAGTTTGATGAGAGTGCAGAATACAACATTGATGGAAGGGAGGAGCAGGTGCATTTGTGTTTAGGAAAGTGCCTCAATGGCATCATGTGATTTTGGCTCCTCGAATGCTCTTAATCAGGATATTGAGGTCCAGATTGACTGAACAGTTATGAGCCTGAGGAAAGATTCAAGACTAAGGTGATTAAATTACTGTCAAAGATAACAATGCTCCAAACATCTGCTACAAAGGTCTGTGTGTGCACAGAACTGTCCCTGTGTAAGCATTATCTGTACATGAATACCATTAAACTCTCATCTGAAGAAGAACTAAACCAGGCTCTGCATGGTGGAAAGAAGTAATATTTTATTATTTTTGACAAGCCAAAATTCTCTACCCTATTTTGCTAAATTGAGTCATAAGGGAAGGATTCAAAATGTTAAATCAGGAAGAAGAAAAACTAGAGAGAGTATTTCAGTCACTACAACAGCTGATTGATTTGGAGTAGAACCTAGTTCAGCCTGCTTTCAAAGGTTACTCAAACATTTCTCTGTGTACTGTTTAGTAGGAAATGCTTATTCAGCCTTGGAAGCAGAAGGTATCAGCACCTTCCTGCCTGTTACAAACAAACAAACAAACAAATTAAAAACCTCAACCAGTGATAGTCACTGTCTCTGACTGGGTTTTTTTTTTAAGGAGGACTTAGGGATATAATTCCACAAAAGCCCCCAGATATCTCCATGTTTCTTTGTAGTGTCCAGCTGTAGCTGGATAGTTCAGATCACTGACCGCTGGTGTTCCATTTGCCTTGTAGCAGCACATCATGCTTTATAGTTCAATTTTCTTATTAAAGATTTCTACATGAGACCTCTTTTGTCAACAGCAGAACAGGACAAGAAGCCCTTTCTGAAGTGACTTTGGTCCAAATCTGATAACCATAGTGTCAGGCAAACTTTGCAGTTGTTAAGCAGCAAAATTACTCCAACAGTGCAGAAGGAGTCTTGTGGGGGAAGTCATAGAGGTTGTAAGAGTTAATGGACCACTCCCTGAGTGGTGTTACAAAGAAAACCACCATAAAAGCAAAGGTTGAATATCATTCTTGGTGTTCCCTTTGTTCATGTAGAGCCTGTGGAACTGCATGCCATAAATGGCTTAATCATTAATAGTCAGCCTGTGTAATGGGAGAGGTTGTCAATCAGTTATTGTTATTTACATTTTGGAGTGAGCAGACCACTGGGCAAGTTTTATCCAAGGAGCTCGATGTATGAACACTGCAAAGGAACACGGATAAGACAAATTACACATTAAACATTAATCTATACAGCAGAGCAATCATCAGGAGACTAACAAAAATAACCATAGAAGTAATCCTTCCTAGAAATATGGATTGGTTTTTCTTTTAATGAAGAATATATCCTCTAGCTAGAGTTAACATATTTGTAAAAATAATATCAGCACAATGGTCAGGTTAGATCCTGTGTGCAATTCACTGAAATTGCATTCACCTTTCAGTTGTAAAACATATCCTTGAGCCAGTCAGGGTCGAGTGTAACTACACTAATTCCAAATCAATACTGTCCGTGAGGAGGAAGGGCTAAAAAGTTTTGCAGATACTTATTTTAGAAGTTGAAATTTTGACATTAGGAACTTGATAGTCTTGTGATAGACCAGGCCCTCTCCTCCTTTGCAGTTAGGGTTATTTCATTTTTATAATTGGTCACTCCTGGGAACCTATCTGAACTTTCTGGATGAGGGAGTTAATGGAGAAGGATAAACCTTAGCAATTTCAGTTTGTCCTTCTGACCCTCAGCCTGGCTTTCTTGTATGCACATGTTTTTGGATGTTCTCTGGAGGGATAGAGGGAACAGCAGCTGGTGACATCAGGTCTTTTAGGATGTTTCTGTTGGGAAGTGAAAATTTGCTACTTTGGAAACTTTAAAGCCCTGCTGTTTAGTTAAAGACGCAGTTTCTGTGTTCTGCAAAACCAAAGATGGAGATAGCTGACTGCAGGAGAGATCACAAATGACAGTTGGTATCAATGCTCCTCGAGCCTTCTACCCAGAATTGTATCTCCTAGATAAATTACAGTTTGTCTATTCACTTGGAAATTTTGTGAAAGATACTTTTCTGCAAGTTCAATCATACTTAACTGTCCAGGGTTTTTAAAAACTTGGCGGTTTCAAGTACAAATGTAGAATGAAAGTTTACATCTTCAGGAGCTATGAAGAATTAATCTCTTTTGACAGAGACTAAGGGCAAGTGATCTGTTAAAAAATCAGGAAAGATTTTATATTCTAAATGTAGAAGAGCAGAATTTCTTAGATAAGTGAGGACAGTTGTGTTATAACTGAGTATTTGTCCAAGCATGTGAGAGGTGCTTTGGTAACTCAGAACCTTGTGCTCTCTGATACAGTAATTTTCTTCTTCCACTGAAGCAGGAAATGAAATGACAAAGGCAGGGAACTGGGAAACAGAGAAAACTGCAAGAATTTTAAGCTGAATGTGGGAAATAATACATCTTAACCATTTAGTTATCTAAACCTGAATACAAGTGGAATATAATTATGAATAAATTAGCAAGTGAGTGTTTAGGGTTCCTTTATTGGAGCTATCACAACTTCTAGTCCTAGTTAAGACTTGCTGGGGTGGAGTAGGGTGAGGAGGATTTAGGAGTTGTGGGATTCCCTCATTAGATCTAGAATACATCTTACCATGTGAAATGTCAGTTAGTGTTTGAAACAGTCACTCAAGGACTGTTCACAGACATCTGCTGGAGGGAGGGAAGATGTTCAAAACTGTTCATGGCTCTGTTTTAATTAACAAACATGCCTATTGTGACACTGATTCTTCTCAGGTTTACATTCAGGAAAACTGCAGTGGAGGTAGTTGTTCTGGCCATAATGTGATTTATACCACTGCAAGGTCAGAATAAAGCCCTGTTACAAAACCACATGGTTCGTGAAGCTTATTGAACTATTTAGGCAGGTTCTTCTATTACACAAATGGAATTCACAGCTGTTAATCTAGTTCTGAGCAGGTTTGGGAGCTAAGTCTTTGCTGCCAGAAAAACAACAACCAACAAACAACATTCCAGTACATGGAACTGCAGGAAGGATCTCCCACAGGTTGAGAAGATTCAAAATAAATTGTGACTGCCTAGCAAGATGCAAGATCAGCAACATGTCTTTACTCCATCCCTCTGATTTAGCTGTTTTATTTCTTTACCCTTCCAGTGCTGTCCTTTTGGGCTTGTAAGTATTTTCTCCTATACTTTGGTGGAACAAGCATTATTCTAGAATCACTGTTGCTGAGGCTGGTCTTCTCTCAGATTTAGTGCCTTCTGTCTCTTTGCTGTACTGTAATTTCCCCAGCTCCTCATTGCCATTATCCCTGATTTTCTTATTTTGTGGGAGAGGGAGGTGTAATTTTAAAGAGGTAGACTTGATGATAATTTTCTGTGGGTATTTCTGACTCTGTACAAACTGCTCTCAACAAGTGATGAAGAAAAATCCTCCAGTCAACCCCTCTTAGGCTCTAGAGAGCAGAAGTCCATCCTGGGCTGTCTCAGGCTCTGTCAGAATGGGATCTGGTCTCTTGTGTCTGTGCCTCAGTGAGGAGGAGCAGTTTCCATTTTCCTGCTTTGTCCCACCCTGCTTGCTCCGTGGGCATTAGTTACTGCCTGTAAGTGATGTGCTCAGCACATTTGCACAGTGATAGCAAATGAGATGATCTGAGTCTTTGGCCATATAAATGTCATAAACTTTGCATTTTGCAGGGCTGGATTCATGCTAAGGCACGAGGCTGATTAGAAGCTTTGGAGCTAGTTATTCACAGAACTGCTGCTAGCATACTGAAGCTCTGCAGGGAAAGTGGGTTTGGGTAGGTTTTTGTGCTCTGAGAGTTATAAATGCAGAAAGAGTAATCAAAGTGAGCTGAAAGGCTGAGAACCAGACTTAACAAATCCAATTTTGAATGACAAACCATTAGTGTTATGTACAATTGCATCTTGCTGAAATTACACGGGGGATAAATCAGTTATAACCATTAATTTAAACAGTAAGCATCTTAGAATAGATACTGATCTTTGCACAGACTGAATTGGATGTGATGGGTTTTATTCTTTTCTGGCATGGGATATACACAACTTTTCCTGGTTTTGTGTTATTTGTATACA